TGTTTCATCAGACCAGAGGACATTTCTCCAAAAAGTACGATCTTTGTCCCCATGTTCAGTTGCAAACTGTAGTCTGGTTTTTTTATGGTGGTTTTGGAGCAGTGGCTTCTTCCTTGCTGAGCGGCCTTTCAGGTTATGTTGATATAGGACTTGTTTTACCGTGGATATAGATACTTTTGTACCTGTTTCCTCCAGCATCTTCACAAGGTCCTTTGCTGTTGTTCTGGGATTGATTTGCACTTTTCGCACCAAAGTACGTTAATCTCTAGGAGACAGAACGCGTTTCCTTCCTGAGCGATATGACGGCTGCGTGGTCCCATGGTGTTTATACTTGCGTACTATTGTTTGTACAGATGGACGTGGTACCTTCAGGCGTTTGGAAATTGCACCCAAGGATGAACCATTTTTTTTTTGAGGTCTTGGCTGATTTCTTTTGATTTTCCGATGATGTCAAGCAAAGAGGCACTGAGTTTGAAGGTAGGCCTTGAAATACATCCAGAGGTACACCTCCAATTGACTCAAATGATGTCAATTAGCCTATCAGAAGCTTCTAAAGCCATGACATCCTTTTCTGGAATTTTCCAAGCTGTTTAAAGGCACAGTCAACTTAGTGTATGTAAACTTCTGACCCACTGGAATTGTGATACAGTGAATTATAAGTGAAATAATCTGTCTGTAAACAATTGTTGGAAAAATTACTTGTGTCATGCACAAAGTAGATGTCCTAACCGACTTGCCAAAACTATAGTTTGTTAACAAGACATTTGTGGAGTGGTTGAAAACTGACTTTTAATGACTCCAACCTAAGTGTATGTAAACTTCCGACTTCAACTGTATCTCACTGGTCATCCCCAAAGCCAACACCTCCTTTGGCCGCCATTCCATCCAGTTCTCTGCTGCCAATGACTGGAACGAACTGCAAAAATCTCTGAAGCTGGAGACTCTTATCTCCCTCACTAACTTTAAGCATCAGTTGTCAGAGCAGTTTACCGATCACTGCACCTGTACACAGCCCATCTGTAATTAGCCCACCCAACTACCTCATCCCCATATTGTTATTTATTTTGCTCATTTGCACCCCAGTATCTCTATTTGCACATCATCTTCTGCACATCTATCACTCCAGTGTTAATACTAAATTGTAATTATTTCGCACTATGGCCTATTTATTGCCTTACCTCCATAACTTACTACATTTGCACACACTGTATATAGATTTTCTATTGTGTTTTTGACTGTACGTTTTGTTTACCCCATATGTAACTCTGTGTTGTTGTTGTTTTTAATCGCACTGCTTTGCTTTATCTTGGCCAGGTCGCAGTTGTAAATGAGAACTTGTTCTCAACTGGCTTACCTGGTTAAATAAAGTATTAAAAATATTTAAAAAACAGCAGCTTTTTGCTGTACTCGTTGACAGTCTCTCTCTATGGAGGACTAAAAGTGCCACAATTAAATAAATAAATACACCATTAAATAATTACTTAAATGTGTCATTAATTAATTAAAATTAGAATTAAATACATAAATGTGTTATTAAATGTGTCATTAATTAATTCAAATACCGATTCATTTTATGTAAAATACATATATAATTATTTCACTATTTACATTTACATTTCATGATCCTGCATTGCAGTGATTCATGAATTACTTAAAACTGTCAAACTGACCCATCAAAGTCAGTGGGCGGGGCTAACGCGAATCTAGTCTGATCCATTGCTTTGGTCTGAAGTAGAGTAGGCCAACCTGGATAGAGACAATGGAGGATCTCCGTGAACTTTCCAGGGAGTTGGTTAGAGACATTTTAAACTTAGCAGAGGATGTAGAAGCAGGACCTGCTGACATTATCCGGAATTGATTTGTCTTGGCTTGATGCAGAGGGTAACCAATCAGGCGTTAGGTTCCGCCTACCAACTTTTGATGGGTCAGTTTGACAGTTTTAAGTAATTCAGGAAGCACTCCAACGCAGGACCATGAAATGTAAATGTAAATAGTGAAATTATTATATATGTATTTTACATAAAATGAATCGGTATTTGAATTAATTAATGACACATTTAATAACACATTTATGTATTTAATTCTAATTTTAATTAATTAATGACACATTTAAGTAATTATTTAATGGTGTATTTATTTATTTAATTGTGGCACTTTTAGTCCTCCATATCTCTCTAGTCATGGTTTTAAATGTTTTGAAATCTCACAGTATCAATTTTGCTGTAGCTTTCTTTTATGCCTGCTACATTACTGCAGACACAGTAATCTGAGCCATCCGATTGGCCAGCAGTAGCCCTATAGTGCACTTGATTAGTTTGCTGGGCCCGCTGGTAAGGCAGAGGTTGTACCTTCAGACACATGAAAGGCACTTAACCCTAAATGATTCCAATGGCGGCCCTTGTGAACAGGACAAATATAAGCACCCCCTTGACTAGCAGAAGGGATGTTTGGGAACAGAGACAGAGAAAACTACATGCATAGAGCATTCTATAATGGAAAGACAGACATGTAATAACTGCTGTCCATGTAATTAATGGGTTTGTTTCATAACATTAATTGAATCATTTCCATTAATTCTAACCATCACTGTTTCGACAACCTCAGTATTACTCTCAGCCTCTTCTCTTCTTCCTCAAGAGAGGTGGGGTCCACTGCTGTGAACAAGTGATGATACTGTTATAGGAGAGAGCGAGAGAGAGGGTAAGAGGGAGTTTAACCCCCCAAAATGTCCAGTTACTAAATATTTCATCATCTTGGATCATAGTCCTACCGTCCAATGAATAGAACAGAATAGAATAGTCATATGGGTGGTACTGTACTAACTCGTGAGCGGAAGAACTCATGGTAGTATTTGGCCTCTCTCCATGATGTCATAGGTCTCTGGGTCTAGTCTGTAATGAGAGGGTGTGGGACTGGTCTCAGCAAACTTCTGTAGCAAGGGGTCTATCCAGTAACCACCCAGCTTTGGAGGCAGGATCAGGGGAAGGTCACCACCTATCTTCGTTGAGAATATTGAAAGGTCAATGTCAACACACACACAAGTGTGCACACAAATCTTGACTTTATATGTTAGGAGAAAAACTCACCCTCAAAAGCAGAGGGAATTCACAGCACTGTTTATCTAGCCTGCTGCCCTGATGAAGGAGAGTGAAGGTAACAGTGACTGACTGATTGACTAACTGGAGAGACAACTGTTGTACACACAGTTGTAGGGGAGTCCAGAATATCCAGAATGCTGTGTTCTAATGGTCCGGTCTGCTGCAACAGGTGGAATGACAGCGTATACTGAGAGAGGAGCAATTAGGAGGGGAATGGGGATGGGTGGTAGTGGACAGGAGGGGGCACACTGCAAAAAGGGGAATAATAAAATAGGAGGGGGGGTAGAAATATGTTCATTCTGTATCTATAAATACAACATATTAGGCTCCATTTGTGCAATAAGGTAAATTGTGTCGTGGCATTGGTAGTAAAAAAAAAAAAAGAGGATAATTTGTAATATCAATCATAAGTATTACATTTTTACATTACATTTTAGTCATTTAGCAGACGCTCTTATCCAGAGCGACCTACAGTTAGTGAGTGCATACATCTTTCATACTGATGCGCGACAAATGCCAATATCGGTCAAATGACTTGAATGAGATTTGTGCTACAAATGCCAAAATGATACCATGTGACAACAGTGAAAGGGAAACCAAACCAAAGCATGTTGTTGTCATACCTTGTCCATAGACTGGCTCACAGGGCAAGGAAACCAATGTCATTGTAATTTGGGTGAACTAACTGGCCAAGAAATACACCCATGCTAATGTAAAGCTTATGGGAGGGTCAGAATTCCAGTCGGTATCAGAACAAATTAATATACAGCCAGAATTCCAGACTCCTAAAAGATGTTGAGCAGATCGTGGTCCTGGGGAAGAATAGCAACACACACACACAGATCCGCTCAACTGAGTCTCCTACACAGACACCGTCACTAACAGCAGACTCTTGAGACCGTAACAACTGGCTCTGCTCGATAGCACATTTTCACCCTTCATACAATATAGAAATGTGTTTAGATATATTTATATTCAGAGAGATGTATCCCGTTCTCAGTTTATTGTCGATTCATTTAGTTTGGCAAACATGGATTTCTCACAATCAAAAATTCCTCATGGACAGATGTGGGCTGTTTCCAGTTCATTCCTGAAACCCACTCCCTTATTTCCTAACAATGACATGCCATCCTCTCCACTTAGTTTAACCATTAGATAGCTGTTTATGTCAGTCTTCCATGTTCTTCTTATCAATTGGTTGATTATTTACTGTAACCACAGATTCAAATTCAAATTGCATTTGATTAATACGTTTCCAACCACGCACTCACCCTGGGGACCTTGACTTGTATTCGCCCAGGAAAACGTCACTCCAAATTCCCAGAACTGTCATTGGCTATTATCCAAAACAAATAATTTTGACCACTCCCGCTACAATTTCTCACATTGCAGAGGCGCGGAAGTTGGTTTAGTACGGTACGTTATGTTGTACATTTGTGCGAAATAACTTCAAATACAGTTAGCGATCTAGTTTAAAGGACATGGTTTAGGAGCAGATGAACATTTAAAGTGTTCAGAATGGTTTTAATCCACGAAAAAAGAGCAACCGACATTAGCATGCCGATGTAACGTTAGCGTTATGCGAACCTGACTGGCTAACGTTAGTTATTTGCAGTTGCATATCTAAAGTTAAATGTATATTGTTTTGAGAAATGCAACGATACTGATTGATAGAGAACTGTTAACATTTGCTTACATTTAGAAACATTTTCTTAGGCATAGCTACCTGTTTTTATGCAATAGCTTACAATTTAGTATTGTTCAGACGTCAACTTTTACTCCACACATTAATTGTTAGCTAGCTAGCTAACGTTAACTGGAGACAGCTGGCTACCTGACAGCCATTGTAATTATCTGCTCTTGCTGAGTGTTGCCGGACTTTGGAAAGAATAGGAGATATATCTAGCTACCAATTACTTTCTCGTATTCATCCAGACAGCTAGCTAGTTATCTTACAGAAAGACACATTCACCATCCTTACCACTCCGATTTAGAAAACAAGGTAAGTTGAACTATTCTAATAGCTAGAGACAATGCCAATGAGTAACACGTTGTTGTTGAGAAGCTAGGCCTATATACCGCGCCACGGTTTTGCAAGAAGAATGGAAGTTGATAGTAAATAAAGCGTTTTCCTGTGTCTTGTCTCGTAGCAGAATGTTGGGGGAATGCGGTATGTTGGAACTAGACAGAAGAGCGCTTCGGAAACGCTCTGTGACCCTCTGCAAAGAGATGGTGGTGGACGAGCTGTTAATTCAGTCGCTGCAGGCAGACGACATTCTTACCGACAGTATGGCAGAAAGCATCCTGGTATGTTGTTCACCATGTTAAATTTCGTAGCTCGATACTACTACCAGGTGACTTATGACACTATCAACTTCCCAAAAATTTATGCATTTATGGCCCAAATGTCTTCTTGTTGATTTATGTCATTAACTTCAGTCATGTAATCAAATGTGAATGTTAGCGTAGATCAGGGTTTCCCAAACTCGGTCCTTGAAACTCGGTTTTGGGCCCCCCCTGTGTGCATGGTTCAAAGCTTGATGATGAGTTGGTTATTTGAATCAGGTGTAGTGTTAGGGCTAAAACCAAAACGTGCACCCAGGGGGCGCCCCAGGACAAAGTTAGGGAAACCCTGGTGTAGATTACCTTGTCTTTGACTTTCCATTTTTTCTAATCTCTGTTGATATCCGTTGTTCCCCAGGCGGAGCCGACCTCCCACAAGCGGGGCTGGCGTCTGCTGTCCCTGCTCCCCAAGCGTGGTCCCAGAGCCTTCAGCAGCTTCTGCTCAGCACTGAGAGACACAGAGCAACAGCACCTATGTGCACTGCTCACAGAGTCACCAGAGAGAGACAGCAGGGAGAGGGACAGAGAGAGACAGGTGAGTGGGCACTGGGTGCCACACCACACACAATAATCAGATATTGATCCAGACAGACGGGCAGAAGGACAAAGATAGAAAGGGAGAATGTAGACATGGAGGGAGAGGGTAGGTATGGAGAGAGAGAGGGGTGAGTGCCACAACCAACCTAAGCCTCAAACTGTGCCCCTTACTCAGTGTCCCCAGACAGATAGGGTGAAATACAGGGCTGAGGAGGTGAGTTCTACAACATACCCAATCCAAGCTTCAGACCGCTATGCCCCATTCACAAAGACCCCAGTCAAAAGCAGTGAGAAAGAGGGATGAAGAAAAAGAGGTGAGACTAGCCCACACCTAACCCAAGCTACAGACTAGGGTTGAATCTTTTCCTGGTATTTTACAAATGTTCCACCCCGAGGGAAAAAAAAACAACCTGTATTTCCCGCCAAAACCGGAAGTGTCATTCAAAAGCATATAAATATGTTATAAAAATTAAAACCTAATGCTACCTGAGCCTGATGAGCCATATGTTAAGTACATTTTATTAGCCCTACATTAACGACATTTAATTAACCCAAACCCCAAAAACCCCAAATGATTGTGCCATTATCTATATAATATAGGCTACTGCACATTACGCACGACAGAAAAACATTGAAGCACATAGATGTAGCTAGCTATATGCTCGCTTGGGTAAATAAATGAAACTAGCTCCAGTAGGCTAATCTTTTTGAGTGTGAACTATATTATTCTATTGTATTATATGGACTGGAATTATGCACATCGTTCAATCCATGATAAAGCAGAAGAGAACTTGCGATTCTGATGCAGCACATGCGGCCTACAAAGTATAGGCTAGTGAATTTGATTTTAATTTTGAAATATAATAGGACCTATTTGTATAATTAGTAGGCTATCGCGTATATATACCTTTCATAATATTTCCCCTAATGTTATTCTCTCTGTTGCTTCATTCCTTCCTCGCTTTCAACAGATAAATTAAATACGTTTTGTTGTCCTTATCTTCATCATTCTAATGACACCTTGAATAATATTGGACTAGAATTGGATGCAGAAGGCTTTCACTTCTCTTCACGAAGATTGAATGGTTATGGGTCTGAATAAATAACTGCTATAGCCTACCGCCATCGCGTGTTCACTCTTCTTTCAAACTACCTGTGAGTTCGATTGGCTGTTGTATTTAACATTCAGCAAAAAATAGCTTATTCGAATAGTCTATTGGTATAAGAAATGCTAAAAAGATTGTCTAGTCTAGCTTTTCCTGCATGGGACTCTAAGAGCTAAGGAGCGTTTTTTAAGGAGAGGCCAGCGGAGCACAGGTGCTTGTGTATTGCGCAAGAGACAGAGGCTATAAGTTAGAAGCTTATTATGCATAACCCACCATTAATTAGCTAAATATAAGGCTAATACTGCATTGAATGTATTCCCTGTAAGAGGTAGGCTAGGACATCTATCGCTCTCTCTATATATCACAATCTAGAACAGGATTATCTGTTTTGGATACAATTTGAATGGAGTTGATGGAGAGAAAGGGACTGCGAGAGACTGCGAGTGCGTGCACTGATTTTAAAGCAACGATATTCGGGTGATGGGCTGTTAAAAAAATCTGGAGCTGCAATAAAAACAAAATTTTTTTTTTTTTAAAACAAGGTGACCCCGAAAGCCAGATGGAGATGGGTAAATTAGACGCACATTCGGTCTTTATATTACTGTAGCATAGGCTATGCTGCAGCAAATGTAGGCCTACCTGTCACAAGGAAAAAAGTGACCATGATGAGATGATAGGTCTACATGCATTGTGAACTGCGCTCCATACTGAGATGGGCTGCCTGTCCCCACCCTGAGCGTTGATTCATCATTCAGCGGCCGTAGAGAAGCCAGATTTAGACATTGCGTGTCATTTAACAATTCCATTTCACGCCATGCTGTTCATATTAATAATTTATTATAATTTACCGGTTTCTCGCAGTTATTTATCCCGGGAAAAGGGAGTGGTTTTGGGCGGTAAATCTCGGTAACCGGGTTCCCGCCATTCAACCCTACTACAGACTGTGTCCCCCAGAGTTCCCAGATAGTCACCAGAGAAAGAAGTAGCCACAACACTCCCAACCCAAGCTACAGACTGCTGTAACAGGAAGAAAGAGGGGGATAGGGAGAGAGGTGAGAGTCATCCACCACTCCCAACCCTCCTCTGGATTTTTTGGTATTCACACTGCAGGCAAGAATGAGGCAGTAAAATCAGGAATGAACTGGTTTTACCTATAAATGTTCAGATTGTATTGATGTCAATGGTAAATTAAAACATGGTTAAATTCTCAATTTCCTTTGTCCTTCAGAGGTATGTGGACTCTCCCCTACCACTGCCCACCCAGGAGGGGAAGGTTGCAGCCAAGAGAGCCAGAACACAAGGTGAGTAGAGCAGTCATCTGAGCTGGGTGCATTCAAGATCACAGTTGTTTCATTCACAATATTTGCACGTTTCCTAGGAGATCGTGGGAAGTGGGAGGGGTTGTTTGTGTGGTTGTTTGGAAAAAATAAAATCAATGTAATTATTCTGTTTGTTGGCTTGCAACTCAGTCTTTTATAAAAAGCAATTTTTAATAAATCCAATAAAACTGTGTAAATGAAAATGTCCCTATTGAGTCTAGTTTTATAATTGTCTCAGTGTGGGAAGAAGTGTGATATAGCCGTGGTGTGTAGTGCTACTGCCCAGCCAGTCTCTGCACCTGCAGGTACCACGCCCATGTGACTTGCTCACATAGCTGTAGTACAAAGGTTGTTACAACACCATTATATTTGCTTAAACTGTTGCTAACGATGCACTATGAACTTCCCTTTCAATGCAGAAACGTTGTGACCTTGAATGGAACCCTGCTCTGATAAGCATTCTTGTAATTGTTGGTCTCCACTAGTGTATTTTATGGTATGAAATACATGCAGGGTGTAATGTTGTCCTGATATGTGTTTCAGTGTCAATGGAGATGTGTCTGGATGCAGACAGTCCCATCACCACCCCTGTTCTTCCCTGTACACAAGACTTCTACCGCTCACGCTGCCTACAGGTACAGCGCTCACTGTTAATACAAACAGGTAAATCACCGGTCTGTACCATGTCAGTGCAAACAGGTAAAACACAGTCTCTGTCTGGTGTCTCTTACCTGAGACAATGAACGTTGTGTTAACTACTGTATATTTTTTCACTGCAAATACAACTGTTACAATACAATGCAACTTTATGCAATCCCCTAGGGCATTTAGTTTCAAGGCAGCAGCCACTGCAACATGCACCTTTGCAACAAACACATGCATGCACTTCCTGTGTCCAGAATGTGTTTCTAGCTGCTGTTTAGCTGCATTGTCCCCCAAGGTATTTCTAAGGAGCAGCAGAGCAGATCTTCCTATTCATCCACCTCAACTTGTAACAGCTGTTGAAGTGTCTCCAATCTAAACAGACAGGAGCGCATCCATCTCAGCTATTAGACTTCTGCAGTATAGACAGAGTTTAGACAGTACCAGGGGAGTCCCACTGGTCCGTAGAAGACAGTGTTTGTCTAAACCACAGTCAGTTTGACAGGAAACAGAAACGGGGAGAATTCCCCCAGCCCATATGTTCAAGTCTTTGTAAACCTGCTCAGGTTGGGGATGACTCGTCTCTGAGCTCCACTGGGGTGTAAAACTGTCACTGAAGTACAGGGACAGAAACCACAACAAACAGTGCTGAGAACAGCAGCAACTTATGCACATCATTATTTTCCTTCTGTCCTCTCTTTCTCCCTTTCTCTCCCCTCCAGTCCTACAGTATGGTGTCCAGTCCTCGTGGCCAGGCCTTGGTGATCAGTAACGTGTCCTTTGACCCCTGTGCTGCTCCTGACCTGGACTCCAGGAGGGGAGGGGAAGTGGACGAGGAGGTCCTCAGGAAGGTGTTCACTGAGCTGGACTACATAGTCACCGTCCGGAGAGACCTCACAGCGCAGGTAACACACACACACACACACACACACACACACACACACACACACACAGTAAGACGGTGGTGCCAAAGGTTTAGCAGCACAACAGTGCTTCAACCAACATGGACTATATCAGTGGATCCCCCACTAGCTTCAATCAGTGACCTTCACATAGACCCGTGGGCTATTAGAGTTATGGGGTTAGCTAGTGGAGACAGCTGTTTGTAGCATTGGTCTTACCATTACCATTTGTTTACAATGCAAAGAACAAAGGGTGAATTTACACCTCTACACTTCCTCTGTATAACTAGTGGAGCTTGCACTTTGTGACAAAATGTATAAAAATAATTCTAACAGTGCTATGTAATTAGAATATAGTTTAATACTTGATTGATTGATTGATCACTCTCTCTCCCTGACAGGGCATGCGGGCGTGCATTGAGCAGTTTGGCAGACGGCAGGAGCACCAGACACTATCCAGCTGTGTGGTGTGTCTGCTGTCCCATGGAGTAGAGGGGGCTATCTACGGCACAGACGGACAGCTACTGGAGGTGTGTGTGTGAGAGTGAAAGCCTTTCGTTCAGTTGAGAGTGAAACCCTTTCTCTCTGATGATGATATTAATTTAATCTCTGTCTTTCTCTCTCAGTTAGACTGGGTGTTTGAGGCGTTTGACAACGCGCACTGTCCTCTACTGCAGAATAAACCCAAGATGTTCTTCATCCAGGCCTGCAGAGGAGGTGAGCTCACACATGATCTCTCTGCCCACACTCTCCCTCCTTCCCTTTCCCCAACCCTCCCTCGCTCTTTTTGTCTCTCCCCTGTTCTCTTCTTCTAATCCGTCTTCTCTTGGTCTCCCTCCAGAGGAGATGGACTGTGGTGTGGAGCAGTCAGACGGGCCAGAGAGGACCCAGTCTCCTGGCTGTGAACAGAGGGATGCAGGGAGGGAGGGAGAGGGGGATGGAGACACCAGGCAGACGGAGGAGAGAGGCAGGCTCAGAGTCAAACTGCCCCAGCGCTCCGACATGATCTGCGGTTTCGCCTCCCTCAAAGGTGTGTGTGTGTGTGTGTGCATGCTTACGTGTGTTGTCTGTTGGTTTATGATGTGTATATGGTGAATGTTGGAATATTTGGTATTGTGTGCGTGTTGGTCCCTACTAGGTAATGTATTGTCTGTTGGTCCCTACTAGGTAATGTAGCGTCTGTTGGTCCCTACTAGGTAATGTAGCGTCTGTTGGTCCCTACTAGATAATGTAGCGTCTGTTGGTCCCTACTAGGTAATTTAGCGTGTGTTGGTCCCTACTAGGTAATGTAGCGTCTGTTGGTCCCTACTAGGTAATGTAGCGTCTGTTAGTCCCTACTAGGTAATGTAGCGTCTGTTTGTCCCTACTAGGTAATGTAGTGTGTTGGTCCCTACTTGGTAATGTAGCGTCTGTTGGTCCCTACTAGGTAATGCAGTGTCTGTTGGTCCCTGTTAGATAATGTAGTGTGTTGGTCCCTACTAGGTAATGTAGTGTGTTGGTCCCTACTAGGTAATGTAGGGACCAACTCTCCCGAATGGCGCAGTGCTAGCTGTGCCACTAGAGATCCTGGTTCAAATCCAGGCTCTGTCGTAGCCGGCCGTGACCGGGAGACCCATGGGGCGGCGCACAATTGGCCCAACGTCGTCCAGGTAGGGGAGGGAATGGCCGGCAGGGATGTAGCTCAGTTGGTAGAGCATGGCGTTTGCAACGCCAGGGTTGTGGGTTCGATTCCCACGGGGTGCTAGTATGAAAAAAGTAATAAAATAATGTATGCACTCACTAACTGTAAGTCGCTCTGGATAAGAGCGTCTGCTAAATGACTAAAATGTAAATGTAAATGTAATGTAGTAAATGTAAATGTAATGTAGTGTCTGTTGGTCCCTATTAGGTAATGTAGTGTGTTGGTCCCTACTAGGTAATGTAGTTTGTTGGTCCCTACTAGGCACTGCAGCCATGAGGAACACCAAGAGAGGATCCTGGTTCATCCAAGAGCTCAACTCAGCACTCCGCTTCAGAGCCAGAGACACACACCTATCAGACATACTGGTGCAGGTAAACACAAACAAACACACACCACATATCACTGTCATAGTAAGTGCATTTTCCCTCAATAAAGTAGTTATCAGCAAATTCAGTGCTAGTAACCTTTTGTAACCTCTGTCCCCAGGTGAATGGTCGTATTAAAGAAAGAGAAGGCTATGCTCCTGGCACTCCCCACCATCGCTGTAAGGAGATGTCTGAATTCACCAGCTCCCTCTGCAAAGACCTCTACCTGTTCCCCAAGTACCACCCTCAGTACTGACACACACACATTCCGGCGCACCTACATCGTCACACACACACCGCACCCACTACTGACACACACACACACTGTTATACACACTCATAGAGGATTCATTCATTCACATTTGCTGTGCAAATTCCCTCTCACAGACAAACTCTTGGAAAGGAAAATGGAACAAGTTTATGTAAATATATGTACTTGGTAATGGGCATTAAGTATACGTTACTGGTATGCAGCTTATGTGTGTACCTACCTATCAGCTAAGCTTCCTGTATGTGTATCTGTGCCAGTTATGAATGGGATTGAAATGTTCTATGAAATAATTTTAGCTAGCTAACACACCAGAGTATATTTAAATCTTTCGCTTTTAATTTCGTACTAAACAGTATCTTTTGGGTTTCAAGATGATTCTTTTTTTAAACATGTATTTTGTATGCAGATATATTTGTATCCAGTTATTTTGTATCAAATCCTTTTGAAGCTCTTTTTTGTAAGAATTTTAAAGCCCTTGTCCCCTTTTTGTATGAAAAAATGTTTATTATAACATGCATAATGTTATATGCATTAGAATACGAAATCCCCCTGACCAAATGAAGGTATGTATCCGTGTCCACCTGATGGGCAGACAGATGGCAGTGTAGAGTTGTTGGCTGATGATGCAGCATAGAGGGAGCTGCATTTCAATACCTTACCGTTTTTACCCCCTCATCCTAGTAATCTTGAGTCTTCCACTGAAGGACATTGGAACAAGTAGATATGATATTGGGAGATTCCAGTTTGTTAGCAATGATTTGATGTGTTATTGATCCAACGAGTGTAATGGAGTCATGACCATTTCTCTCACAAACAACCGTCCTCCTCCCCCCTCCAATCTCTGTACCTCCATGAGGGGCTTACTATGTAAACAAGTTAGGGCACGTCTTTACATCAAGTTGCCTTATGGCATATAGAATAATTTTTGTAACCAGACTGTTATTACTTAGATGTGATGAAAGAAATGTGTCACATTTGGGGGGGGATTAGTTACATTTATATGTAGTCACACCAATGAATTATATTAGAATTCTATGTAACTGCTTGTGATCTCTGGTCAACTTGAGATCTAAGTTATCCACTGTCAATGTTTCTTTGACCATTAAGATTTCAGTTCACAAAATGGATGTACATGGATGTTTTAAAGATATATGGATTGATTTTAAAGCAGCTACTGTATTTTCCTTAGAAATTTGATATGCAATATTCCATAGCAATGTGTGCCATGTGAAAGATGTATTAAGTATTGTCTTTAAAATACTTGGTTGATCATTTATATAAGACAATGCATCACATTCAAGTGTATGAGCAGCAATATTGATGTTTCTCAGAATGAGCAGTGTATGAATTGTATGAATGAAGCTGTTGACCAACCAATCACAGAGACAGCGCGGTGTGCCCATCTTTAAAAGGGACAGTTCCATAGAGATCCTATTAAATTAGTATTCTAATTCTATGGACAGTTCACCCCAAAATCAAAGTTTGCCAGTTTGTTAGAAGTTTTCCATTTGGTTTGAAGCCTCTAGTTCAGTTAGTTCAAACTTAATGTGTACAATATGGCAGTATCTACACAACAGGTATGGGGGGAAAGTCATATTTGTTGTTATTGTAAATGTTCAGAAAGTGGATTTTGTGGTGAAGGTGGCTATCCCTTGAAAGTGAAGTACTGATGGCTGGGGTTCACTGCCATAAGATAAGGATCTGCTGGGGATGGGGGAGAAGATGACTGTATTTATGTGGAAAACAAAGACTGCCAAATGTTCAAGAAAATAAACAACCCTCTGTTTTTTCTATGAATTGACTTTCTATGAGTTGTGTTGACATGCACTGTGTGCTGTGTGTGTGAAACTGTGTACGAGAGAGCGCTGTACATATGTACACTGCATGATATTATATTTTGATCTCTCGTTGTTGTTTGTTTATATCTGTGTACATCCTGTCCCCCTCTCAGTATACTGGTATAGTATAACTCATAACCCTGTAGTAAGGAGTATTTCATGACTATGATATGCATCATGAGTCACACACTGAGCACCACCACTGTGATAATGTTCTCTGTGTATCAGGTAGTGCCTCAGCCAGCTGTCCATAGTCATTCTGCCTGACACACATCACACACATCTCACACTCGCCCTCGGTCAGAGTGACACATTTTTCTCTGGCCACCACCGTGCAGTGAGATTAGGTTGTTATGCGGTGGCGTGTGGTCTCCAAAGCAGAGAAGAGGTTTAAGGGATTGGTGGGGCCCGGGCCATTCTCTCTCTCTCTCTCTCTCTCTCTCTCTCTCTCTCTCTCTCTCTCTCTCTCTCCTCTCTCCTCTCTCCTCTCTTCTCTCTTCTCTCTTCTCTCTCTCTCTCTCTCTCTCTCTCTCTCTCTCTCTCAGGGCCATGTGCCATGCTGTCTCATCAGGCTGAAATGAAAACAGGTGATTTCAGATCAGTAAACACAATAGAGAGAGAACTACTTTAGACTATTGTGATGCACCCCTACAACCCAGACTGAAAACCATTATATCAGAAGGGATGGGATAGATGGCCATGTGCATTATGGTGACGGCTACATCTGGCCTAGGGAAGTCCATTACAGATTGCTGACGGGGAAAAGGTATTTGATACACTGCCGATTTTGCAGGTTGTCCTACTTACAAAGCATGTAGAGGTCTGTAATTTTTATCATAGGTACACTTCAACTGTGAGAGACGGAATCTAAAACAAAAATCCAGAAAATCACATTGTATGATTTTTAAGTAATTAATTTGCATTTTATTGCATGACATAAGTATTTGATCACCTACCAACCAGTAAGAAATCTGGCTCTCACAGACCTATTAGTTTTTCTTTAAGAAGCCCTCCTGTTCTCCACTCATTACCTGTATTAACTGCACCTGTTTGAACTCGTTACCTGTATAAAAGACACCTGTTCACACACTCAATCAAACAGACTCCAAGCTCTCCACATTGGCCAAGACCAGAGAGCTGTGTAAGGACATCAGGGATAAAATTGTAGACCTGCACAAGGCTGGGATGGGCTACAGGACAATAGGCAAGCAGCTTGGTGAGAAGGCAACAACTGTTGGCGCAATTATTAGAAAATGGAAGAAGTTCAAGATGACGGTCAATCACCCTCGGTCTGGTGCTCCATGCAAGATCTCACCTCGTGGGGCATCAATGATATGAGGAAGGGGGGGT